CGATCCTGCTGGGAGTTTTGACTCTGATGACTGATAGATCGTGGATTGACGCCAGAACTAGAAGAACCAGGAAACGTCAATCTGAAGGGAGGCATCAGGACAAACATTGATTGGAGAGACTGACACGCCTATCCAGGTGATTTAAAGAGGCGTGCTGACTCTCAAGTTTTGCTTGGAAGCAAAGTGTTTGATGAGTTGGAAGAATACATTTGAAGTGGCCTTGTGAGTTATGGACAATTCTGATTAGCCTGACAGGTTCCGGGAAGTCTGCCAAGGACTGGACAACTGTGCTAATTTAAGCCTTTTGAATTCGGTTTTGTTTCTGCTTGAATATTTTGAATTTTGAAACCTTGTCTTCTCATCTATGAATATAGGTGAGACATAACAGAATCAGGTTGAGTTTAGTTTACAACGGTTATGACTTATGAACATAATGGACAGGCTCCGTTATGGCCTTACATGAAGGCCTACCTGCACAGAAATGTAGAAGGAAACAGAGGTGGCATTCAGCAGGTTCTGACCAGTTCTGGAGAACCAGTAGCAGACATTTTGAGTAGTTCAAAGAACCAGCAAATGCCACCTCTGACTGCCCCCCCCCCCCAATCTATTCTCTGCCTGCAGAGTCCTAGCTGATTGGCTGGGTCTTCTTTGGTTGCCCTGCACAGGAGAACGGAGCTGGAAAGCAGGTTAGTGGGGTGGGGAGGAAATGGAGATTTTACAGTAACCTTCCCCTGCCACGCCCAGCAAGACACACCATGCCCTCGCAAGCCACACCCACAGAACCAGTAGTAAAAAAATTTGAATCCCACCACTGGAAGGAAAGTAACCTTATCCTTTAAATCTTTCCTTAAAATGGCAACAAGCAAATACAACCGAAGAACTCAGTTCCTACCATAAAAAGATCGTTGTTGGGCTGCTGAGAATTTTTTATCTTCTGGATGATCCTTTCATAGAGTGAAAGTTCCTGGGAAAAGAAAGCCATGAAGGAATCTCTTTTTACGGTAATCTCCTCCTCTGCTTCTACCATCTGGGTCAGAAATTGTTCTTCTTGTTCTTTCAGGAAGTGGTGGAGATCTTTAAACAGAGATGCTGCCTTTCCTCGCTCCTCTTTTATTTGTCTCTACAGAAATAAACAAACAGATAAATAGACAGAAAATGGCTGCAATTATGGGGTGTGTAGAGCTAAAATTGGGGATTCAGAGATAGCAAAAGCAATAAATCACTTCTCGTGATTCTAACTCTTCTCCCTTTCAGTTATAAATTAACAACAACAGCTTACATATTTACCAATCACTATTTTTAATCGTAATGTGGCTTTAACACTATTTTTCCCTTCACTTGGCAAGGATAAAAACTTACCAGCAAATCCTTGCTTTCCTTCTCTTTATCTGACTGATGTGCGGCAATATTTTGTTTTGCCTCCTTCAGCATCTCCACAAAACTGTCAATGTATTCCTAGGAAGAAAATGACAACCAAGATTTAATTTATCTTTAGAAGTCAGCTGAATGGTGTGGTTTTTTCGTTTGATTATTAGAAAGGGCACATTATGGAAAGAAGGAAATTATGTGGTAATTATGTGGTAATTTGAGACAGAGGAGGTAAAATATAAATGTTCAGTGCAGCACTGGAAATTGCTGTAAAGACCAGAAGCCATTTCTTTATACACTTGTTACTTTCCTTTACTCCTTTTTATCCCCAATATTTGGATTGTTTCTGTTTTTTAAAGCCTTTCTATCAGATGATCAAAACTATATTTTAAAAAGAAACAAGCTTATTGGCTGAGCTCCCATCTTTTGAGCTCAGTCAAGTTAGGAGCACGCATTGTATTTTAAGAATTCCAACCACTAAATCCTCTTTTTAACTACCAACTTATCTTGGTAGATCATCAGATCCATTTAATTTAACTCTCCATTCAGCTGATTCAAATCCAAACATTGCTTGTAAGATGGCAAGATTTCTTGGATCAGGCTTACAGGAAAAAACAAATGGCATCACGAGTGATATAAAGGCAGAACTGTGGGTTTAAATCCAGATCTTTTGCATTGGCACTGCCATCTTGTCTTTTTTAACCATAAAATGAGTACTCAATGATCAGCCCTACTCCTAGCTTTAATCATGTTTTGCAAAGAAAGAAAAACTTCATTTTGCTTATTCAATCTGCTTCATGGATCTTTATGCTATTATGCCCATTAAAAAAGACCTGCCTTCTCTCTCCATGATCTGTGGAAAAAATGGTGATTTTAATAAACTGGTTTCATTCCTCATCTATTTATTTTATTGATTTGATTTGATTTGTCAATTGTTTACAAGATAATAAGTATAAGTGTATACATAGTTATGAATACATGAAATGGGTACATATAAGAAAAATAAAAGAAAAATAAAAGAAACAATAGGACAGGGACGGTAGGCACGTTGGTGCGCTTATGCACACCCCCTAGAGACCTCTTAGGAAAGGAGTGAGGTCAATAGTAGACAGTCTAAGGTTAAAGTTTTTGGGGTTTGGGGAAGAAACTACAGAGTCGGGTAAAGTATTCCAGACATTGATCACTCTGTTGCTGAAGTCGTATTTCCTGCAATCAAGTTTGGTGCGGTTTACCTTGAGTTTGTATCTGCTGTGTGCTCTTGTGTTGTTATGGTTGAAGCTGAAGTATTCATTGACAGGTAGGACATTGCAATGTATGATTTTATATACCATGCTTAAATCAGACCGAAGACGGCGTAATTCAAGGTTTTCTAGTTCTAGAATTTCAAGTTTGGTGGCATAAGGTATTCTACAAGGAGTAGAGGAGTGGATTTCCTAGCAGTGTCTTTTTTTCCTTCTTTGGAAAGCACCAAGGGTGAGTATTTTCTCCAAGAACGCACATTGGGATTATTACTGGGGAAATAGCCGCCCCGAATAGCCAAGATCACACGTGTGTTTTAGCTCAATAGTGTGTTAGTTAGTGTCGGAAAGGAGACGCCAATGATTGCAATTTGCAAGGTAAATACAATTCTGTCCTAAGGCATCCTCAAGTCTTAACTACCTTCTAATTGCGATTTAAAAGCAAACAGCTGCAAAATAAATTATCGTTAAATCGCGTTTTAAATGCCTCGCCAGCCAAATCGCAAGCGGCAGGCAGCTGGCTTCGGATCACTTAATTGGGAATTGACTGTTTACCGTTGTTTTATTGAGCATGCGCATTAACGACCTTTCCCCATTATTACTGCTACCACCACCATCAATCCTATTCCTATACACCCTCCCAGCGGCAGGCTTGCAAAAACAAAAAACAAAAAAAAACCCGGGATTTGTGCTTCTCCTGTTCCCGAAGGGGAAAAGGGGGAGAGGAAGCAATCCGGATCCAAACGAGTAAGAATTTTATATTGCTCACCTTATTTACGTCGTTGGCCTTTTGCATGGTTGAGCTCCCATGGTTGCTGTTGTGCGGCTTGGTGGTGCCGCAGATGGCACAGTGGAGGACGGTTTGGTGCTGGCAGGAGATTTTGACGGGCCGATGGTACTTTTCACACAAATTGGCTTTGCCCGGGTTTTCTTCTTCCGCCCGTCGGAACTTCTCCGCGATCTGCACCACGTTGGCCAGCGGCCGGTTGGGGATGATGTTTTGGCCGTGGTGGAAGGTTTTTCTGCACTGGGGACAAGGGGTGCCGACGCCGCCTCTCTCGGTCCCTTGGCAGTAGCAGCTCAGGCAGGCGCGGCAGAAATTGTGTCCGCAGGTGGTTATGGTCACCGGGTCCTTGAAAGACTCTAGGCAGATGGGACAAGTGATTTCGTCGCAGAGATCCCGGAGGGGACTCCCGCCCGTAGCAGCAGCAGCCATCTCTCTCTCTCTCTCCCCGGCTCGAAAGCTTTAAAATTAAAACTTTCTCTCAGTTCTTCCTCCTTTTCCGATTCGGCCCTTTGGAAAAGTCCGGGGCGGATAAGTTGGGTCGTTGCGCAGAAAAAAAAGAAAATAAAGTTGAAAGTCCTCCGCCACTCCCTCGTTTACTCATTATAAGGAAGCTTATTTGGTTTTTCGAGGTTGACTCAGCCTTCCATCCTTCTGAGGTGGGTCAAACGACCCAGTTTGTTTGGGGGCAATATAGCTGACTCTTGTAAACAGCTTAGACAGGGCTGTAAAATGGTATATAAGTGCTATTGCTATAAGTGTTATTTATTAAATTTCCACGCCACCCATCGAAAGCGACTCTGGGCGGCTTATAAATAAAATGCAATAAAAGAGGGATATGAAATACGAGGGGGGTCCTTGGCGCTTGCTTGTTTTCTTGCAGACGTTTCATGACCCAAACGGGGTAATATCATCAATGCTGGTAATTGTGTGGTGGTAGGACTACTAGCACTGGTGATGTTAACCTAGTTGGGGTCATGAAATGTCTGCAAGAAAACAAGTAAGCGTAGAGAGAGCGCCAAAGACCCCCTCAGTTCAACCCTGAGCTACCAGTATTCTGCTTTATCTATAGGAAATACAAATAGAGAGAGCTAACCTTACAAATATTAAACGTGCATCATGCTGGAGAAAATGCCAGAAAAAAAGAAAAGCAAGGTTACAGATCATCACCACTCCCTGTTTACTCGGTACAGGAAATTAATTTAAGTTTTTATTGCATTCCTTAATACCCACCCATCTTGCCATCGAAAGCGACCTGGGTCGGGTTTTGAGGCAATAAACTAGGAGTGTAAAATGGAAATATATAGAGGGAGCTGAAATTGCAAAACAGTAGAGAAAATTCTGGCTGTGGTGCACCGTGCAGGTTTATCCGGGTTGAGGTGGATTTTAAAGCGCAATTCCCAACCCCTCTCCATTTTACAAATAGTGTAAAGAAACTTTTACAAACGTGGAGCTTATCCTTAAAAGGCTATTTGGATATTGTTGGAAGCCTGGTTAATTGGGGGGTGGGGTGGGGGGGTGGAGATTTTAAATATTTTCTTAAAGAGTCCCTCATTGTCTTACTTTGAGGTCTGATGTGGGAAAGGTGGAAGGAACGAGGAGTGGACCAGCAGAATCATTCTGGAGAAAATGGCAGAAAAGGAAAAGCAAGGTTACAGACCACTGCTACTCCCTGTTTACTCAGTATAGGAAATTGATTGATTTTTTTTTAGTTTTTATTGCATTCCTTACTATGCCACCCATCTCTCCATCAAAAGTGACATTGGGTGGCTTACAATGCAATAAAATTGGAATGTAAAATGCAAATATAGAGAACTAACATTACAAATATGATTTGGGAAAGGTTGAAAGCCTTGCTTTCAGAAGTTGTGGGTGCTCCATCACGAGATTTATAAGGAGAGATTGGGCTGCCACTTATAGGATCTCCTGCTTGAGCAAGGGGTTAGCCTAGAAGACCTCCAAGGTCCCTTCCAATTCTGTTATCCTGTTAAATTCTGTTAAAAAGGAGAATCGGCAGCAAAAGCAATTGATTCAATTGCAGTGCGGATGAGTACATTTAGTCATTCTGGAGAAAATGCATCTGATGTGGTAGCTAGGAGTCTAAAATGACTTTATGGCAAATAATTCATTATTGCAAAGAAGCATCTAAGTGTTGGGACAGTTCCAACACTAGATGCTTCTTTGGAATAATGATTTGTGTGGACTTCAACTCCCAGAATTCCAGGTGCCAGAATGATGGCTGCGGAAGTAAACAAGAGTTCCATCTGTGAGGGTGTTGGGTCCTTAAAGAATGCTGAAATTGTTCTTCTGGTTTAGCTATGGGTTGGTTCATTAGGGTTTCCTCAAAGTCCTACTTCAGGTACTCCTGACTTACGACAATTGAGCCCAGTACTACTGCTGCTAAGTGAGCCATTTGTTAGGTGAATTTTGCCAGGTTTTTACAACCATTGGTGCCACATTTGTCAAGTGGAATCACTGCAGTTGTTAAGTGAACCCGGTTTTGTGGCTTTTCACTGCCTGCCTCCTGGCGACGACAGGGTCTGAACTCAGAGCCCTGGGCCTTCTCATGATAAATAAATAAACACACGGCACAGTGTTTACTCGGGATGAAAAGGCACTTTAATAATGGTGGGTACTCCTTTTATAGGCTACTTGCACACGTCATAGCAGAAACAAAGCTTTCTACATAATTATGCTAATGCAAACCTATACCATAGCTGGTGTGTTATCGCTCCTACTTCTTAGCCCCGCCCAGTTACCTTTTATCTCCATAACTTTCGTTTCTCCCATATAACTTTCGTTTCTCCCATATAACTTTCGTTTCTCCAGCCAGTATTTTTCCACACAGTCAGCACTTTATCACATGGCAACATTAGATTGTCCATCCATCACTTTTACAAGGTTGACCATTGCAACATTTAGCGTAACAGTAGATTGCAACACGGTTTCCCGTCAGAAGATAACAAAAGAAGATCCCATGACCACATAAATATGAGTCAGTGGCCAAGTGTCTGGATTTTGATCATGTGATCATTCAGATGCCACATTGGTTGTGTGAAAAATGGTGATAAGTCACTTTTTTCAGTGCCCTTGTAACTTTGAATGGTCACTAAATGGTTCTAAGTCAGGGTCTACCTCTATTCAGTGCCTTGCATGGATTAAGTTTTGTAGCTTGTCCTATTGATTTATAATATATTATTTGTAATTGGCCTTGGTGGCCAACAACAAAAGCACCAGGAAATCAAAAGCAGGAAATTTTTTTAAAAAAAACCAAAATCAGGAACTAAATTATATTTAATTTGGCTTCATTTTAGATAAGGCAGGTGGGTTCAGTCTGACATTTTTCTGATATACCAGAACTGCAATTATTGAATTTCCCAATAGCGGCTGTGCTTGCAGGAATTCGGAGTACAAGTAGTCCCCGACTTACAATTTGTTTAGTGACCGTTCAGTTACAGTGACAATATTGCTGCATTATCAGGTTTTCAGTTCAATTGTATAGAATGTGAACGATGTGTGTGTGTTTTATTTTTATAGTTCTAATGTACACTGATGATAGCATTTAATTTCGTTGTACAAGGTGCAATGATAATAAAGTAAAGTAAACGTCTGACAAATAAAGCCAACGAGGAAGTTGAATTCACTTAATAATCATGTTACTAACTTATCTGCAAGAAGCTTGGTGGCGCAGGGGTTAGGGTGCAGTACTGCAAGCTACTTCTGCTGACAGCCAGCTGCCTGCAATTTGGCAGGTTGAATCCCACCAGGCTCAAGGTTGACTCAGCCTTCCACCTTTTCGAGGCGTGTAAAATGAGCAGCCAGATTGTTGGGGGCAATAATGCTGACTCTGTAAACAGCTTAGAGAGGGCTGGAAAACACTGTGAAACAGTATATACGTGCTATTGCTGTTCACTTAAAAAATGTGGCAAGAAAAGTTGTAAAATGGGGCAAAGCTCACTTAACAAATGTCTCACTTAGCAACATTAATTTGGGGCTCAGTTGTGGTTGTAAGTCAAGGACTATCTGTACTAATAATTTACATAAGATGAAAAATAAAAAATATTCTCCCCATAGTAGCTGGGGAATCCTGACAGTTGAAGTCCGTGCTTCTTAAAGCAGTCAAGATTGAAAACCGCTGTTGCAAGGCATACAAAGTCACAACACACATTGGAATAGTGTAGAACTTGTAACCTGATTCTGCTTTTGACATTTGCCTCCGTGGTGTTGTCCCTTCCAGATATTCCTGAAGAGTAGACAAAAACTATATACATAGAGACTCGCATTCACGTGGATTTTTTTTTCCCCATTTATCCTCAGGTATGCGTTGGTCCAGAAACTTTTCCCACAAGCCGGACATCTATCTGGGTTTTCTTCTGTGTGGATTCTCTCGTGATTCATGAAGTTTGATCTTCTCCCAAAATGTTTCTCACAGAGAGAGCATATGTGATTTTTCTCCCGTGAGAGAGGCCGCCATGAGACATAAGGCTCGATTTTTGCTCGAACCTTTTCCCGCAATCCCCGTATGAATATGGTTTCTCCCCTATGTGGATTCTTCCAGAAGTTCTTTATGGCTGAACTTTCCATTCAGACAGAGCACATGTGTACAGTTTTTCCTGGGTGGGGATTTTTTGATGTAACTTGTTCTGTGCTTGAAGTTCTTCCCACAGACTGAACAGCTGTAGCATTTTTCTCCAGCGTGAATTCTTTCGTGAGATTCATTGGCAAAACTTTTCCTGCACGTGGAGCACGAATATGGCATCGCCCCCATGTGGGTTTCTCATATGTACCACTGCAGCTTCTCCCACAGACTGAACATGTATGCGGAGTTTTTCCAGCCTGGTCTCTTTCACGGTTGGTGAGATTGAAGCTTTTCCCATAGAACACACACATTTAATGCATTTTTCTTGTGTGTGAATGCTTTCCTGTGAAATCAAGTTCGTTCTCTCACTCCTGCCTTTCCCACGCATGGAGCATTTATAAAGTATCCCTCCTGTAAGTTTTCCCTTGGATATGAGACTTTTTGGGACTAAGAAGATTGGATCTTTGGTTCAAGCATTTCCCACATGCTGAGCATGTATGCAATTTTTCTTCCTTATGGCCTCTCCTGTGCAGAGCCAGGTGATTTTTCCAGCTAGAACCATTCCCACAGACCGAGCACGTATATGGTTTTCCTCCTGTATGGTTTCCCTTATGTCTCAATTTTTATGACAGAAGCCTTTCCCCTTAAATTGAGCATTTATAGGGCATTTCCACTTTATGAATTCTGTGCTGGAGAAGACCCGAGGGCAAGGTAAACCTCCTGCCACAGGTGGGTCAAAGGTACCTTTCCCAGAGGAATTGCTCATGTCTAAGCATATATGCTTGGTTACTGAAGCATTTTGTGCACATGGACCACAAGTATGGTTTTACTCCTCTGTGAGGGAACTCACTGT